CATGAATTTGAGCAAAGAGAGAAGGTTGTAAGATGCAGCACCAAGGAACCTGCCATGCTCGGGTCTTTTGGCAGCCCTCCGTTCTGTAGGAGGATTCTCACCTTGTAGCTCAGGTAGACAGCCTTATACAAATTAAGCCCAAAGGGTCATCACCTAAATCTGTGACAGTTCTCTAGGATAATCTCATACAGATATATGTAGGTCTATTTGTTAGAATGATTAGCTGGCAAAGGACAGCAGCAGAGGCCGAAACTGACCTCATATCCATGCTACAACTGCTCTACACACCATTTCACAGCAGTGAACTCCTAGGAGTAGACAAAGGGTTTGGGGCAGAGAGCTGTTAAATTGTTTAGGGTTTTTGAGGAGAAGTTACTTTTCCCCCACCCAAAGGTATCCTGTTACAGCACAAGTTACTGTGAGTAACACCCGCTTCTAATCTGCACTGCCTACTAAGGCTTAAGACAGCAGCATTGGACACGGCTGCTACACTAAACCATCTGCCTGTATTACAAAAAGCTGACAAAGGTTTTACTCCATAAACCATCTTTCATTATCTCTTACTTAGTCACATCTATGCAGGTGTAAGTTCCCTAAGTGCATTGCTAGAATAATTACACGCATGTGAACCTATCAAGATGAAGGAAATCCTGTAAGATGCTTATAACACATTAAGACGCTGCTGAAGACAAATCCTAGACAGACTTAGGAGTTCTGTAAAGTGTTCGCAGAGTCTTCTCAATAAAAGGTATAGTAGTTGCATGGGAACTAGTTGTGTTGTAAGAGCATGCTGGATACATAGAACCTATCAAGGAAGTAATTCACGCTTACTCACCTCTGTGAAAACCAAGACCTTATTAGTTTCATCTGTAAAGCGATATGGAAGAAGAACAGTGCTTGCAAATGGATCCACTTTTTTCTAATAAGAAAAATATTCAGACAAACAAAAATAAAAGGAGACTTCATGACTTAAGGGCAAGTTACCAATCGCATGGAGTTGGTCCCCTAAACAGCGATCTTAGCCACCATTTCCTTGCACAGAGGCCATAACAAACAAGCATGATGCTTAAGTTTTGACTGCTTTTTTTAAGTCCTTTATATACTCAAATCTAAACTTGAGACATGAGTTAATTATGCTGCAGTTTGCCCAAAAGAAAGGGGCTGGGATCAGCAACTTCAGTGTAGGATTACTACCAGGCTCAGGTGCAGTCAGTAACAAACACTGAGGTGCTGTAGTTGCAGCTTATCCAAACGATGTTTCTGATACAATGGCCAATGCAAGCCATCAGCAAGGAATGTGTCTCTCACCAAGCCTTAAGAATACCACAGAGCCTCCAAAAGCAGGAGCAAGAGCCCTGCATTTCTTCAAGCATCAACTTATTTTCTAGCTCCAAGGGACCCCCGGTATACCAAAGAGATATTTAGTTACACATGCGAAGAAACAAACTCTAAAGTGGCCTGTTTTCTACTTATGGAGAAAGCAGAAGGAGTTTTAGGGAAAGACTAAACTGGGCTAAACACCTTCAAATCAAAAAGGTCACAGGCAAACAAGTAATAGCATACTTTCAAGGACCATTATTAAAAAAAAAAAAAGAAAAAGAAATCAAAACAAGGTCATGGACAGGGAAGGGCAGAAGCTTGCCTTAACACTTCTCCCTGTAACAATCATCCCAGATCAAAACACACACGTGATTTTGGTAACACACCTTTAAGTGGAAAGCCTGAACAGACATAAAGCTTAGTTTGATCAGTTCTGTCCAGACATGAATTTTCGTCACATAATAGCCTGTTTTCAAAATCCTCAATGGTGCATCTTCACCTCAGGAGTATGAGGGATGTTTAATAATTATACACGTATAAAGGCACAAAGCCACCTGCAAAAGCACATATTATTCTGACAGAGAAGCTGCAAGACGCAGCTGAGAAGGCTGACAGCAGCATCTGCTCTGCACTCAAAACACAGCCTTCCCACGTTAAAAAGAAGAAAGTATCAAAATCTGTATACACTTCCAACCTACCTTCTTCTGTAGTGCCATATCTAGGAACACGTTAATATAGACATATTGTTTGGGGTAAGTGAAGTCCAGTTCCTGAAATTTCTTCAGCATACCCACAGCCTCTTCCAAATCATAGGATGGCCGCTCATAATACCACGTCAAGTATACATCATCCACGGGCTTGCTCATCAGCAGCCGCCTCTTAGTTACTTGTTTCTTTTTTGTTTCCTCCTGCTTGGTCTTTTGTGAGCCTTTTTTTGCAGTTCTAAGACAAACAAAAAATATTGTTAGATCATCAACTGAAGAGTTTGGCACATGTCCCGAGAGAAAAAAGTAGATACTGTCATGTGTCACTTATTAAGGAACCATCAGTTAACAAGAAAGGTTCTACGCAAAGATGAACAGCATCCTTAAATTCATCCCAGTTACTTGTCTCAGGTAGTCAAGACAGAAATCAAAAGCTCTGAAGGCAATTAAGCTCCTCAAACAACATAGCCACATTTGTGCAGCATGGAACCAAGTTAATGACTCTCCTACTGTATCAAAACAAAACCAGTTTAAGATAACACACCAACTCGTCCAGGTCTTGCCTTCACGTGGGCTGGTCGCAGGCGCTGTGCCTGAGCTGCTACTAAAACCACCCCCACACCTTTCTGGTAATCAGAAGGAGCCACATATGCAGGGTTGGTTTTCTTCTTCTTATAGTGGATCATGGCAGTCCCACCTTTTGAAAAAGGTTTCTCCTCCCTTTCCTGTATCATTTTGCATCCAGTTAACAAACACTAGCCCCAATCCTTGTTCTCCTACCTATACTCAAAGGCTCTCAAATCAAGGAAAAAAAAATTAAAGTAATAGCGGAAAGGAGTATCTAGCTATTACTATGGTGAAAGAGTACGCAACACTTCACAACACTTGGTGTACAGCACGCTTCACTGTTGTGTACACAGAGGTCATTTTTACTTCTCCCACTTACATCATACTATTAGACTTAAAGAGACAACCACAAAAAAAAAAAAGGAACCTGAAGCAAGAAGAGGAACTGTTTGAAACCAATTCCATAAGCTCACCAGCTCTCATGCTGACAGTACTCCATAAGCTGTAATCCAGCCATACCCTCCAAAAGCACACATCAAAAACATCAAGTACATCTTTCCCCATAACTGTTACATTCATTATTACAAGAGTAACAGAAACACTCCCTTCAAGTCCAGCTTAGATCTTCTCTCTCTCCAGGCTATTTCTCTAGGAGCTAGCAGCTTGCAGGATGCCACCCAGGCCAGCCCGGCTGTTAGAGCAACACTGCAGACACCGAAAACACCACACACTCGCCCCCTACCACCACCAGGACACCCGAGCCGGCCAGCACAGCTGCTTCGGATGGAAGGAGACGCACTCACTTCGCTGCCGCAGCGTAGGACCGGGCGGGCGGCGCTCCGCTCACCAAGGCGGGGGCGACGGCGAGGCGCTGGTGGAGCCCGGGGAAGATGCACCCGCGACGCGGGGCCAGTACTGCGAGGGAAAACCAAACATCGCCTCAGACAGGCGCCCCGACCTCCCACACCTCCCCGGGGACCTCCCGCCAGGCGCTCCGCCACCACCGCCCGGGC